ATAACAAACAGCAACTGTTTGATCAGGTGGCTGTGTAGAAACGGCCAAACTACCTTTTCTCTCACTCACACACACGTGCACAAAACGTGCACGTGCACGAAAAAATCATAAATCATAACAGACAAACACTCAGTCTCAGCAAAACACACACACACACACACACACACAGCAACAACACATCAATCGCGCTGGGACACAAAAGCCCCTGTCAGACTGATGTGTACTTTATGAAAGGACATATACATCGTGTATTTACTCTATAGGCGGCTTCAACTCTCTGTGACACTCTGAACTCTCTGCATGGAAAACTATGACTCCTGCTTATTCCTTATTCCTCTCTTATAACTTATAACCGGAATAAAGTTGTAATTAAACGAGAACAAATATTTTTTTATCATTTAAATCGATGATGCTCTACAAAGAAAGAAAGAAAGAAAAAAAAAAAAGAGGTTCAAGTGCGCAACATTTTTCTCCATTAAATTCTCCTCTGACACGATGCGACAGCTTTAATCTAAAGTCAATTTACACTTGGAATAAAGGCATCCAGCTGATAACTAAACCAACTCAGAGCGAGTCCACAATCCTGTTATATGTTGAATGTCAACTGACAGTGAGGAGAGCAAAGGTCACCGTTAATTAACGGCAGTTTCCACCCATCCATCAAATCTGCGGCAAATAAACTGTTAAGAAAAGTGAAAATACCTGAGCTGAAACCAGAGGTTTTTTCAAAAACCACGTCTTCAACTTCAAACCGCAAATGACTAAACCAAGTGTGTTTGAATACGTGAGTGTAATAATATTCACTTTATATCCAGCTCTGCTGTTTTTACAGAGTCAAAGAGCAAACACGTCCAGGCGGTTCCAGGACGCCCATAAACTCTTTGTGGAGCTCTCAGCTTTATCAGCAGCGTTGGTGTTTGTGAAGAGGGCTGGAGGGTTCCCTAATCAGGCTGATAGCGCTCCGCTCTTTACACACACACACGTACAAACACACACAATTGCAAAAGTCCATGTGCAGGGCCGCAAATGGCTGCCGCGGGCCACGGTCAAGGCTGGGGCCCCCCCCCACCCCCGTTTAACAATGGGAGGGTGAGATTGTTGTGATAGCAGAGTTGACAGGGACCAAAGATAGTGGTTCAACAACAACGTGCACATCAGCAGAGACCAATATTATGGAGTAGAATTCTGCTGTGGCATCAATTATATGAGAGCAGGAGAGAAGTTCTCGATTGATCCAGACCAACTTCATAAAACCACGGTCGATGGGAGACAGTTCATCTAATCACCTTTTGAAAGTGCCGAACATTTTCTGAAACAACTTGGGAAACTCTGAGAGAAGATTACAGCTCTACAGATCAACCTCTGAAACACGCTCCACTTCCTGATACTGTCTCCTCTGGAAAACAAAAACAGAAAACCCCTTTTTATCACCGTGACAAGGAAATGAAGCGGACGTACAGTAAATCAGTGATGATGATGTTTCAGATAAAAGATTGTCAGCAAACACACAACGATGTTCATTCCATGTATAGATGAAGGAGCTACAGAATATCACGGGCGTGGAAATATTCCTTCCGGCTACGCAACATGGAAGTTCACATGCACGTACTGTATTATTAACCAGAGCAAATTATAGTCCCTGTCATCGTGAGCTACAACAAACATGAGCAGGGATGTCAAATAAGGTCACTGTCAAAAGGTATCTCTGCGTTAGTCTTCAAATCTCATCATAACGTTCCAATGCTCCAATAAAAGGGGACCTAGGACAGAACCTTGGGGAACTCCACGGTTCAATTATTACAGAATAACCATTGTAAACAATCAGCTCTCTGTCTGAGAGATAGAAAACAGTTTAGAGTAAAAGGGATGATAAGGAGTTGTTGAGAAAATAAGCTGCTTGAGACTGAGGAGCTACATCCATTCCATACTCTGGTTCGGGTTTTGTTAATTTCTTTTGATTTGCCTGGAGTACCATTGTCTCTCAAACATACTCGGCTCTTGAGTCATCAACAGTTGAATGTAAAACAAGACCGGACAGGCCTCGCACCACCGGATCACCAGTCAAGTCTGTTGGTTAGATTCAGAAAATGACCAGAACAAGCAGTGGAGTAAATCTCTCACAGCGGCTGAGTCACTGAGGAGTGGTGGGTTCTCTGCTGTTACACTGAGGTGACTTCAAGTGTTCATCAACATCCTGGGATCAGGAGTCACCCGGGGGGGTGGGGAGGTGTTGTCAGGATATTTCCTTTATTTGTTACTTGTGTCTTGTCAATAACTGATTTGATTGAAGCAGCCTGAGAAGGAATAACCTCTAAGGTCGATGTAGACTCATCACAAGTGAGTCTACAGAAGGATTTTACAGCCCTGTGTTGAAAGACAGCCACAGATTCCATCACTGTTTGTGTTTTGTGCGGTTAAACGTTTGACTAGTTTGACTGTAAACTCGTGTATCAGTCGTCTACACTGGATGTCCGCTGCCCCAAGAGGCGAATTCTTCAGACAACAGCCAAGGGGCTCCGAGGTTCACTACTGATTATATCATCTTGTACGCTGGTTTTAAAAAAATTATGGATGTATGAATCCAAACCTACTCCTCACGTTGTTCTGTTGAGCGTTCTCACTGGAGGTTTTATAGCCTATTTGTCTTTTGTGCTGCTCAGATTCATAAATCATATTTAGTTATGGCCACAGAGAGATGTTCTTCTTCGTGTGTATTCATTCACGTGTTCGTTCGCTCGCTCTCTCTCTCTGTCACCAGTTTGACACTGTGACATTAATCACGAGTCTCCGTGTCCGAGGCCGATGCTGCAGATCCACAGGTTTCATCTTACAGAACGAGCAACGCATCGAAACCAGCCTTTCCCCCCATTCAGCAAACTCTCCACCTTCCTCCTCCATCCTCCGAAAACACGACTGAAAAGCAGGAGTAACTGGTTTGGCCTTTATTTCAACAGTGTGCCTTCCCCCTTTATTTCCCTCCTTCCCTCATCCTCCCCTCCACCCTCCCTCTTTTGTTATCTCTCTCTGGGGAAGCTCGGGCGACAGGTACGAGCACGTAGAAACACGGTAAAACAAAAACTCTTAAGCAAACCAACGTGGCTCCCCTGCTGTTTAAACTTTTCTTCAAGCTAATCTCTCTCACAGTCACTGGATGTATTGAAACTGGGGATCTGACAGGATGAGGAATATACACACGAATAAAGTCGACTGAACTCAGTGACTCAACTGTCGCTGGTTTGAATCCCAGGATTAGTTTAGAAATGCAGAGAGGAGCGATTAAATACGACTTCACAGGAAGCACATGGGGAAACACACTTTCTCTGAATTCTTATTCATGTTTTAAATTTGAGAGACCCACAATTAATTTACACACACTTGTTTTTACACATTTCTCTCATTCCTCTTATCTTATAATTTTCTTTCTTTTTATCTTTCTTTCTTTTTGCAGTGATGGAAACACGACACCCGGTGAATGCGCTTATTTCTTAGTTTTTAGTCTCGAGCCCGACGCTGCACCTGAATCTGATGCGTCAAACAAAACAAAAAAAGGAATTTTTGTGTAAAATATTTGATTCCTGTTGTGAGAGGAAAAATAGATGATAGTCTGCCAAAGTTAAAGTGCACCCAGCGGCTGTTCCGGTGAATGAGGTGTGAATGTGACTTGATTTCAGAGCAGCTCTATATGAATTTACTGTTTCCAGCATCTATTTGACAGATCTCTCACCTGTGTGTGTCCGCTGATGAGCCTTCAGATGAGAACTCTTTGTGTAAACTTTGCTGCAGCCTGTAAAGAAACGACAGAAATCATGAGACACGATGAAAATGTGAAAACGTGCTGAACAATAAAGGTTTGATACAAGAGGAGTTTTTGTGACCCAGTGAGATTAACTTCTACGGAAATGTAAAACAGGATATTTGGCAAAAAAATGCTGGTGGATCGTGTTAAACAGTTTCACAAGGTTGATGTTTGGATTTGAATAAAACAGAAAAATACCTCCAGTCACTTCATTTACGAATTCTCAAGTTTTTACTTCTCGTAACATGAAGCCTCTGACACGATTTCACCTGTTTCCAACACGACTGCAGCTAAAGTAAAGTCTCATTTAAAGTTTAAACTTCAGTTTTCTTTGAAGAAACACGAGAACAAAACGTTTCCTTAATCATCACACTGAATAAACGTACAACTCAGAGAAAACAGTCGTTCAGAAACTTGAACCAGGGAGAACGATCTCACCTCGCTGTCATATTTCTTCTGGACGAGTCTAACATGAGACTTAATCATTTGATGAAGAGAGACGAATGTTCTGGCAGCGTGTTATTAAGTATGTCGGCAATCTTGTTTCTGCACAATTGTTTCTGAGAGGCGGCGCGTTACTGAGAGATTTACATCTGTGCTTCAGGACGGGGTTTATTTACACAACAGTGACACTGCGAGACAACACTTTGATCCGACTCGTTGGAGCGGTTGTGTTGAAACTTGTTTTCACAAGTTCTTTGCGAATCAAACCGCCATTAAAGAGCAGGAGATGTTGCATTTCTGTGCAGTAAAGTCTATACTTTAGGAGAACAACCTCAGTATGTGTGTGAGTAAGAGCAGGTATCAAATTGCATAGTGTTATACGTCGCCTGAGGACTTCTACACTTGATCAGTTGTACGGTAGAGTGCAGACGAGGTAAAAGAACAGTCCGGTGACAACTTCATTATATATTTCAGTTCTACACAATAGGCAGCACTGGCCGTTTTCCAAAATGACTCAACGCTGCCTGTGACCTCAGACGACTTAAAGGAGACATTTTAATTTAAACTGTGTAAAAACTTTAAAATGTTTACGTGAAAGAAAAAAAAATCACTTTCTTCAAACTGTCCATCGCTGCAGCTCCTCTTCTCAAACACTGGGTTTGAGCTCTGTTCTGATTGGTCAACTGCCTCCATGTTTGAAATGTCGGCCTCTGCTCTCACTTTACATGGGACAAGTTCCACCTCAGAAGTTTGAGGTACGTTTTCTCTCATTTGGAGGTTTTCATCATCAATCATCAGCGTATAATAGCTGTTTAAAATGGCAGCGACACAGAGTTCTCTACAAGTTTGACAGCTGCTGATCGGCGACAGAAGAGACCAACATCCTCAAGTGTATTTTGAAGTTTCAAACACATGTCAACTTCCTCTGAGACTTATTTCAGGACAAGGGTGTCCAACCCACCAAAGCTTAAATGTTGTTTTCAGTAAAAACTGAACGTGGAGATCCTGACGTGAAGCTTCGTGCCTCTGGTGTAAAAAGGAAAACTTCTTGAATCAAGTGTGACGAGTTTTAGCATGAGACGTTTTTGTGGAGTAAAACAAATAAAGCACAGACCTGGGTAGTCACAGAAGTGGATCCTCCTCTTCTCCAGCTCTGGGTTGTTCCGTCTGTTATATTTGGGGCCTGTCAGGACGCCCTGGCCGTGTGTCATCAGCAGAGCGTGAGGGGACAACCCTGTCACCTTTGTCCCCCCGAGACGCTGCTGGTACGGAGGTGGAGGTAGGGACGCTAAGCCGAGCAGCTCCGCCTGGCCATCGGGGCTCCCGGGCTGGGAGTTTGGGGGTGAGGGCGGCAGGCTGTGTGGCGCTGTGTGCTGGGATGCGTTGGGAGTGGCCTGGTAGTAGCCGTGGTGCTGCGGGAGTTGGTGTTCCTGCATCATGTAGTGGCCATTGGATGTCGGCAACGCGACGCCTCCGAGGCTCAGCATGGTCCTGCTGCTTGCGGAGCCGTGGGTCGACGGGGAGTTGTGCGACAGCGTGAGGTCGGCGCAGCTGGTGATGGGCATCTGGTAGACCTGCGACTGGGGGGCCGGGGGGCCGATGTGAAGCTCTGTGTCCAAACTTGGCTGCTGCTGAGATCCCGCGGCCACACTGACCACTCCTCCAGAGCTCATGTCCGGTTTGATGAAAACGTTGTTGACCACAGGCGGCACGCTGAAGACGGAGGTGAAGTCTGGCAGGGCCTGGGTGGTGGAGGTGGAGATGGAGCAGGGCACCTCCAGGCCCGGTTCTATCTTGATCTGCTGGGGCGTGAGGGTCTTAGTGTTGGGCCTGTAGAGGCCTGTGCGGAGGTGGGTGGTGCTGGGGAGGATGACGTTGATGTTGAGGCTGTAAGGGGCGGGTTTCTCCTCTGAGAAGAACTCATCCACCACGGAGGCGCTCTCTCGTCGGTACTTTTTGTCACCGCAGACAGTCGAGGGGTTCAAGAGAGGACCGTTGATCTGTGGGAGGTATTTGTCCAACTCCAGTCGAATCTGAAAAGAAAAATAAATGAATAAATAGAAGTGTTAAAAAAATCGAATTATTCCAAAGGACAAGTCCTCAGAATGTTTTCTTTCTTGAGAACAGTGAAAACAGACGAGACGATAAATGATCTACAACAATTAAATCCCAACCACACAAACGTCCTGGAGATTCAAACCCAGAACCAACAGTGACCGTGCTTACCGCTGCATATATACACAGAGTACATATACACACACAGTTCTGCAGCTGATATTAAAACGACAACGTTTTTCCCTTTGGTATTTCAAACTAATTTAGTTTGAAATAAATGAAATTGTATTAAATAATTAACTTTTCATTTGGGACAAAGATGATTCAGGTGTAAATGAACAATACATTACGTCAGGCCAGAAACGTTTCCGCGCACGTAGCATCGAACAATATGAAATGTCAATGAAGACCATTATTGTTGTTTTCTCATGTTGCCATGGAGACACAACTGTCAAGTCGCTTGCATGACAGCAGTGGAAACAACAGGTTAGTCGAAACGTTTTCATGCGACAAGACGGGACAGGTGCATCCTCACTTTAGGTCGAGAGCATTATCTGATTGTCGGGACTTACTGGTGTGTGTGCTCATGTGTTTGTGTGCGGGCGTCATTCAGAGTCTATGAAGCCTGTCAGTCCTTTAGAGGTGCACGAGCCATTAAGTAAAGAATCTCTGCAGCGGAGACCACACACACACACACACACACACAGACAAATGTATAAACGCATGAGTTATAGAAAACATACACAAGCAAATGTAGGTGTGCACGCACTGCGACACACACTTATCTGCACACAAACACACAAACAGGTGGAGAGATCCCCACGTGGGCGTGGCCAGTGGAAGTGGTTTTGATGCATGAAGAGGACAGAAAAGAAAAGAATCCTCAGCCAAAGCAAAACAAAGGCGGACGGCTTGAGAACGAGAAACCTAAACAATGAGAGGTAAAAATAGAGCGGCCAGACAAAGTGCTCACAATGACAGCAACAGATGCACCGCCCAAGAGGGAGGAGGAGGGAGGGAGGGAGGGAGGGAGGGAGGAGGGAGAAAAACAGGAAGAGAATGAAATGAATGAGAACAAAAAGGACAGAGACACAGAGACAGACAAGGATTTTAATCAAACTGACACTGTGATAGTGAAGGAAGGGCGACTGATCTGAAGACGACATGTCCACCAATTCAAAATGTCTCCGAAACTCCTGATAGGGAACCTGCATGTTTCCATGACAACACGTGTTAAAAAGAACACGCCTCTGTGAAAGGTGTATACGATCTACACACTCAGCATTTAGTTCTTTATTCTCTTGTTTTTCTTTCATATATTTTTATTATCTTGCTGAGCTGCTGTCACATCTGAATGTCCCTGGTAAGTGGATCATAAAGTTTTATCTTATCTTATCTGTTTTTTCTCTGTGTGCTGGAAATAATTTATTTTTTTTACACATGCAGTTATTTATTTTTTCAGCACATTTTACATACGCACACATCTCTGCCTGCGTCGTCTGTGTACATGCGTAAGAATGTGCATGTGTGTTGTTGTTGTGTCGACAGGATTAACTCCGCGTGTCCATCTTTCGTCGCAGGTGAACTCGCGGCAGCTTATCACCGCTGCAATCTGAGCGCTCTGTGAAATTAAAGTCTTGGGTATTTACTGGGGAGAGAGAGGAAAACAAAAACAGCCTCTCTGTTTCCTCCTCACTGAGGAGCTTTCAGCTCGGGACACAAACAGCGACGGTGCTGTTGGGTGCTGGCAGCTGTGACCCGTGGGTGCCCTTGTCCCTGATCCTTCCTGCCGTCCGACTCTGTTCCCTGATTTATCTGCATCTTCTCTCACCGCGGACGTTTCTCTCTTTAGCCTCTTTATGAGAAAAGAAAAATCGTCTGTGCAGAGAGAAGCTGCAGTTTAACAGTTTAAGAACAGGCTCATCTCACCAAAGCTGTGTTCCGTGAATTATCTGCAACATTAGTTGCATGATGATCTCATGATGACAGCATAAGAGACGTGTTGTGCGGTTGCTGCAGTGTACAGCTGTGTGAAGCTTTGCTGTGCGCTGTCGTCCATAAAGTTTTTACCGTCCACGCAGACAGTCAGACCTCATAGACATCAATGCAGTTCTCGCTCTTCCTAGAACTTGTCGCTCCCTCTTTAGTCTGTGCGCCTTTCACTCTGAATCGATTGTGCTTGAGAGTGACAGCCAAGTTCACTTCAGAGTGAACTTCTGTCATTACTCAGGTGAAAACTTTGATCCGAGGTGTTTTTCAAGTAATTTAAAAAAACTGCCTCGTTAGTAACGAGCGGAAACATCAAAGCAGGGTTGACGAACTACAATTAAAAATGTCTCCGTATCGCTTCGTGTGCTCGACCACAGTAAAAGATCTTTGGGCCAAGACGGAGCCGGTTAATAATTGGAGAACATGCACAACTGCTCTGCTCTGAATCCTTGTGCCAGATAACAGTCTCTTATCAGCTCCACTCTGTGTGGAAACTCCCACTCCATCCCATAAACCAAACGCCAATATGACACGTTCTCCAAGAGAATGAGCTCCACGCTGAGAGTTCCTCTTATAGCAATGCTTTTACATTCAGGTATAACAATCAGCTTGAAACTGAGTCTTCACTTCATTCCATGACAAATGTAGATGTCCATCAGATGTTTGCTGAACATGAAGCACGTCTAGGGGGCGCTGTCCTCCCCCCCCCCCCCCCCCCCCCCGCAAACTAAATAAATTCCAGCTCCGTAAAAGTGAAGCGATCTCTTGATCACCCCCTCGTATACAGCACGAAGAGTCAAGAAGATAAAAAAATATTAAATAAAGACGTGTACATTTAGTTTGAAAGTAAAATCCAGATGAACTTTTTAACCCATTATCTCCCCCTCCCCCCTGAACAAAAAGCCTCCAAGCCACAAAACGTCTGCTGGCGTCTCCGTCAGTCTCCGTCTCCTGCGGCTGCACGTCACTTTTCCTTTATGGCTCGCAGGAATGCAGGGAGATGGTGGCCATTCGCCTTTGGATCCCAATAAAGTGATAACGCCGGGGCCCCCTGGTCTGCTCGCTGTTAAACAACGGAACAGGAACCAGGACGGGGTCGTCAGAGCAAAAACACAACCTTTGAAACCGACAGGAGGTTTTACTGCTGCTGATGGAGGGAGAGATAGGGAGACTTGTTTTGGTTTTCCAGAACAATCACAACTGAGGCAAGAGTTACTGCAGATAACTAGAAAATAAATATATATTAAAGAGTTGATATACAAGTGTAATTACGTGGATAATAGCTTCCATAAGCTTTTTTATAAGAAAAAAAAGTGTTGTTGTATTATTTAATTGTGAAAATTATCTATAGACTGATAAAATAAAGTTTATCAAATGAAGAAATCCACATATACTATTCCAAAATATTTGTACACAGAAGGCGTTTGCATATGTGATCAGACCGTGTACCTTGTGTTTGAGAACCAACAGTAATCTCCGTGTGGGTTCAGGTTACAGATTGTGTTGTATTGTGTTAATTTCAGCTCTGTGACACCAGATGACGCATTTTTCAAAACCTGCCGTTAACTATTGTTTGAACAGAGGTCGTCTTGGGATAGAAACCAAAATATCCGTGTATTCAGGTGAACCCTGCGCAAACAATACGATTCCTCACGTGTTGACCTGTGTCTCTTATTTCTCGTCTCTTTTGTCCCACACAACAGAAGGCTGCTTTTCAGATGTAGTCATTTTTCCACGTCCACCTTTCCACCTTGAATTCAAATGTTCTTAGAATAATCACTTTGCATAATGATACATGGAAATCACTGCCCGAGGAAACTGGGAGAAAAACAACGCGGCCATTTTTCAGCTTCCTGTATCCGAACGTTTTCAGAGACGCTGAAAGATTTATTTTTTACTTTACTACAAAATCACGTCACCTTTTGTTTTGCCCCCATCAGAGTAATTTTCTGTTTTTCCAGACGAGCAGGGGATCAACAGAGACGCTCATTAAAGGAGATTCTGAAGAGTTTTCAGACCACAGGTATTAGAAAACAGTAGAACACCAGCGTCTGCGGGCAGCGTGTGTTGTCTGGTGCGGAGACATGGCTGGGCATGATGGGTACCGATGACATCATCAGACCAAACAAAACGAACTGAGTCACATGATGAATCTCTGGTCAGTCCGCTGGACGATCCGACTGATAAATGAGTTTGCAAATGTGTCTGGTTTACTTATTAAATACTTAATCATCGGAGAGTGATGTAATATTTATACGAGGAATAAAATTAGAAGGAGAGAGGACAGAGGCCAACGTGGTACTGAAGGTATTCACATGGCGTTAAGGTTAAATAACCTGTTTGATCATTGGGGTCTTCTGTGATCTGCACCACTAAATAAATTAAAAATCAATCATGTGATTTTGTTTTTATCCTGCATTTCTCTCGCAGCACAAATTGTTTTATTTTTAAATTTGGTATTTAATTCAGTCTGTGGCTACGTCAGTTAAACCACCGGGTGTCATTCTTTTTTATTTTAGCATTGACATCAGATGTGAACGTTCCTGTTCTCTAGGGGAAACATTGACTTTGTGTCAGGCTCTGTTCATTTTCTCTCGGGTTCAGACAGAAAGAAATCTACATCTATATTTCAAATACATGAGGACGAATGAACTCTTCCCAGATGTTTGATCGTCTTCAGGAATGAGCAAAGACTAATTACTCATGTCGTCTCTTTCCATCAAACTTCCCATCACCACTAAATGTGAGATTCCTGCAAGCACAGACTCGTCTACAGACGCTCGCTCACATGCAAATCAGCTGTGCGTGTTGTGCTGGAAGTCAAATCATAAGTCGGAACAAAATCGTCCTTCAGCCTCAGCCTGCAGCGAGAGGCAACGAGAAAACACACAGACTTTTCACTTGTGGGGGGGGGCGGACACAACAGGAAACATGGAGACGAGTCAGTCAACCCGGGACTTTAGGAGAATCAATGCAAACACAACGAGCTCAGTCCCAGGAAGGAAAAAAACTTCTCGAAAACCCTGGAGAGCAGCAAACCTGAACCATATCTGAGTATTGATCTTCAGGAATCATTAGGTGTGACAGAGAACACGCTCTTGATCTGTTCGCCATAAAGTTACAGAGTAACTTCCCCTGTCGTCTGCGCTCCGTCTTACAGCAGCACCCCCCCCCCGGTCCGTGTGATATAATGACTAAAGAATCTGTAAATCGGTTTCATATCAGTTACTTATTCTGTCATTACACCTGAGGAGCAAGAACACAATCGCTCCACATCTTCAAACCCTGCGTCCTTTGTTTTTTCACTTCTTCTGGTTCCCCCGACACATGGAAGCTTTTGGCTATTAAGTAGTAAAATTGCACATCTACGAGTTTTGACTGTAATTAGGACAAAACAGGAGGAACGGAATATCACAGACTTCACCTAAAAACTAAATTCTCTGCTAAAACCCAAACGATTTGCAGGAGCTGTCATACGTGGGCGTCGAGCTAGTGGGCACCGAAGATTATTTTACAGACCAACAATCTGCATTTGTTCATGTTTCTAAGTTTTTACATCCCTGTGTCACAAGGGTCTGATAACATCTGAGGAATCCTTGAATTTTGAAAAACAAACATGTTTTACTTTTCCACACAGTCACTGACGCTGCAGAACAGTTTTCCTGAGCCTGTGAGTTTTATAACTGTGACATTAACCGAATCCTTCAAGTCTAAAAGTGACAACGGGACAAGTGAAGCCTCTCCTGTTTAAGAGCCGCACACTCATCAATCTCTTAAATGAACGATATTGATCATGTTTCCTCTCTACAGAGCAGTTAGTGTCTTTCAGCTCATTGCTGCACACAACTTCACTGTTTTATTCCAGTCTCACAGCTCGGATCATTATCAAGCAGCTAAATCTAAACTCAAACATCACACACGGGAGGTTGCAGAAAAAAACAAATCAGGGAAAAATAATACTTCAATTTGTGAGTTGCCCAGAAACACAATCCACGTCAGGGATGTCGTTGCCAAAGGTGCAGGTGCGTTGTAAACAGGTGGAGGTGAATATAAACACGCAGGTTAAGGTAATGGAGCTAAATCACTTAATATTTACTGCGAGAACTTAAATTAAACGCTTAAATCCATCTTTCTCATGAGCTCTGCCGAGCGTCGCCCTTGACGCCTTCTCTCAATCTCTCACAGAATTATTGTCTGTGTGAACGGTAAAAACCTCAAGCTAGAGATCCCTGGTGTTGTGAGAAGTGTTATTCGGTTCATTATGAAACTGTGGCAGAAGAAATTAGAACATGGCGCCCCAATCTAGATACTTAATGGGTTACACTGCTGAGTCACGAGATCGTGACCTCAAGACACTTCAGCGGCGCCCCAGGGAAAAGCCGAGGAGCCTCGTCGACCTTTCACTGCTGTTGTGACTTTCTCATGAGACCAGCTTTTATCCTCGTCTCTCTTGCCTCGGGGCCTGAAGAGATGCGGGCCCTGCTCAGACAGGTCGGGCAACATACTGCTGTCACGACACCGAGTTAAGCGCTCTTCAAAATACCAGAACAATGACTCCGAAACATGTCTGGGGGGGGGTGACAAAGGGCGATAAGGGGTCTGGACTCTCTGTAGCACTTGTACTAAAGAGGAAAAAGAGACTTTAAAAAAAGGAGAGCGGGGATTTGTGATCTGTGAGGAATGTTTTTAAAGAAGCCTGCACCTTCATGGTGGAGCCAGAGCACACGAGGTGAACCCGCTGTGCTTTGTTGGCTTTGATTTGCCTGAGGGGGCGACTATTTCACTTAACCCGACTTCTTTGTTCTTGACAAAGTCGTGTTTTGCATGAGGCCGAGCAGGTGAATGTGGCCATTTTGTGTCGAGCAGAGAAGCACAGTCCAGACTGTACCCGACAGTTCACCACTGACGGCTGCGTTGATAGCGTGTGACTGAAACAGAGCTGTGTGTCGTAGCGCAGTGTGAACGGGTGAATGCGGTTCGTCACGTTCAACGCTTCGAGTGGTCAATACAAGTAGAAGTCCACCGAGCTGACTGCTCTCGTTCCATGTGTGCATCAAAAAAACCAACAACCTCAACCTGCAACAGTCACACGTGTTGCTTTGTGTGAAATATGTGCAGGTACAACACATGAGCATCTACCAGACTCCATAATTCACCGATCAAGTCCGGCTTCGACCCCGAGACGAGCTGATCTGTGGATCTGTGGCCTGTTCACCACACACATGGCGGGAAGCCAAACTCAGCACCATTCGAAGGAATCCGGTTTCTGTTTGCGTTCTGCTGCGATCACTCAGGCTCCACGTACAATTCAGAGCCATTCAACTTTAATGCAGCTGTCATGTCTCCGCAGCGATCGGCGGTTTAACAAACAGGAGGTGGTCGACTGGTCGTAAAACATTGTTTATTCTTCTGCTTGCTTCGGCCTCTTAGCGAACGTCAGGCACTGCTATACCATGACGTGACTTAGCCTGCTTCACAGAATCGCTCTGGCACGTATGGGGGCTCGTTTCCAAAAGGGCTCCGACAGCAGATGAGCCATTTTACAGACTCAACTCAAACCTGCTCGTCCATCATGTGATCAAATCCCATGACTTGACGGCTCCTGCAGGAAAGAGCGGCCTTCACACGTCCTCTCCGATTCAGCTTCGTTTATGTGCAACAGTCCAGATAATTAAAACTCCAGCAGTGTATTTACTTCAGTGTTCACAATGCAACAACACAAATACAAAGCTCGGCTGTTATATAACAACACAGCCAGCTCCATCTTCACCAAACCGTGAAGGAACAAGTCTCCAAACGCAACTTAGCAAATAAATACAGATTGACTCCAGTGATTGCTCCTGACACACTTTACTGGGAACCTTTCCTGACCTGTCAGGTGTCTGAAGGACTTTAACCTGTGTCTGCATTTACAGGTGAGCTGCTTCCTCTCACAGGTAAAAAAATCAGCCTCATACACAGAAAATAAAGAGCTCATGCAGCTCAAAGGGGAATTACATGGTTATTAATGGTTTTATTTATCACTATAACTTCTATTTCTATTTGTATTTGATGAATCCGCTGTCTGTCAAAGCTTCAAAGATGAATTAACTGAGGACACATGTAAAAAAAATATAATTATTATTAAAACACAAGGAAGAAGTGGTTCACCGAGACCCCCGGCTACACTCAGCGGGTCGGCACAGACTCTCACCCCGGGTTTGACGTCCTCAAACACGGACGCGTCCTCGGCGCCTTCCGCTCCCGACATCCTCACCGGCTTCAGCTGCGTGAAAACCGCCCTTTCCTCTGTCGCGTGCGGCGGATTCATGGACAGACCGACTCTCGCTGCCATCACAAGAACTTCTCAAGTTCACTTGTTCAGACGTGGATTCTTCCGCAGCTGAGTTTCACCTGCGCGAGGAACAAGGTTGTTTTCAATGCGCCCAGAGAAACGACAGAATTCCACCGCCCTGCGCTGTTTCACTGTTTCTGGCTCCAAGGTTCGTTTCACCTGAGCTCAAGTACAGACCTGCTACTTGCAGGAGCGGAGCGACGGGGAGGGCGGCCAATCAGGGCCGAGGATGAGTCTGACGGTCCAATCAGAGGCGGGGAAGGAGGCGGGAACTCACCTGAGAGGGCTGCAGGAGAGGGAGAACACACACACACACACACACAC